ACATCATTCATTTTGGAGATGGATGTAATGTCACGTTGAGTAGTAAGGTTAGTTACACCATAGATTCATCTTTTGTTGTTTAAATCAATTAATAACTTGAAATGGTCCAAAACGTTTGCTCCGATTATGCCTTTATTAATTTTGGCAATAATGAATGGCCATCGAAAAGCTCGACGAAGGCCAAGATCAAGCGTTAAAAATTTTACCCCATAAGTGGGAATTTCTGTGCCGTTGGCAGCATATAATTTGAAATCACTTTGAAATTTATCTTTCTTTTTTTTTTTTTTTTTTTTTTTTTTTTTTTGTAGCAGGTAATAAAGAATCATCTGCGCCGGAATCAATTAGAAAATGCAAACCCGTGTGTTTTTCAGTCACAAATATTCGGCGTTTGCGGCCATCCTGAACATAACCTGCAGCAAAATCAGCCGGTAATTCCGGTGCTGGTTTAAGTTTTCCGACTTCTTTTGACCCCAAGAGCAATTAGGTTGACACTTTTCAGGAATGCATTTTGAGCCAAACATGTAATGGTAATAACAATACTTTCCATTTGGATTAAATCGCTTACGTTTATTACTTCTACTTCGCTCTCTGTATCTATCGCTATTACGATTCCGAGACCGAGATTGGCGAGAAACACTTAAAGTTTCTATTTTTTTTCCAGAGACGAAAATTTTAGCAGGAACTCATCAACCGAATTTAAATTTTTGCCAGAGGAATAAATTTCAGGCTTTGAATTCATTTCCATTATTTTGTCAGCCATTAAAGCTATTTTGTCTAACCCTTCATCAGAAACCAGTACAATATTTTTTATCGAGTCAGGCATTTTTTCTAACCATAATGTTTTGAAACGTCATCAGTAGCGAAACTGAACGTCATAACGTTTATCTGAAACGTCATCAGTAGCGAGCGATCTCATTTTTTGACGTAACTGACTGGGTTTCATATCCCCAAGGTCAAGGCCAGTGACTAGGCGTTTAATTCGCTTATTTTCGCTTTCTTTGAATGTGTTTAACAGTCTTTCTTTAACTAAAGCATATTTATTACCAGATGTTTTATCCGTAATTATATCCCCCAAATAATTTCAACATATTTGGGCTCTAGTTGAGAAACTACGTAATTAAATATGGTACTATCAACAGTTATTACATTAATTTCGAATTGAGCTTCTATTTGAAAAAAACCAAATTTCAGGCTTCTGGCCAAAAAGGTGGAATTTTGACACTTACCTTGCAAGTTTTCAGCTTTGATGTTCCTTCCATAATCCAATGTTACGGTCACCAATCTTTTAATGTGGATTTGATAAATAAGCGAAATCGAAACTTATCAGCCAGAGCATTTCATAAGTGAAATAAATGCTTATTTTGCTCTTAAAAGAAACAGCATATTTATTTTTTCAGTTTCCATTCTTGTTTGCAACATGTTACTTATTTTTACATAAAAATATAACAAACTTTTAAGAAATAAAGCTTACGCAACGCTTATCAACAAACGCTAGAAGTAACTACGTTTTTAGCTCGACTCGTTGTTGCCACACGGCGAATCTTAATAACTATTCAAAACATTACATCATGTTGCCACTTAGAAAATCTTAATAATTATATAGAAACATTAAATTATGTTCCACTACAATAATGTAAGTCTCTCATACGAACCTATATCTGATATATTTTTCAGTAACATAATTTCTTACAATTTAATGCACTTAATGCCTTGAGAAATGACGAAACTGTCACAAATTAGCAGAGAACATCAGTCTAATTGTTGTTGCAATGAATTGATTAAATATTTTGCAGTAACACAGTTTATTTCTCAAAAGCAATTACACTGGTTATCATAAATTAAGGAGAAATCACAAAAATAGCGATAACTCCCTCAAAAATAAGCCAAACCGTGTAAAATTGGAATATGTTGCCAAGTAAGAGTAGCTGAGTAAAACTCCAATATGCAAATTAGTTGCGCTGCACTCGGAATACGTCATCTGCGAGGAGCATAAACGTCCATGTTTGACAGCAAGCCCACATATTTCACTGTGATAGTGACATCAGAAATATGAGGTAGCCAATTCGTAACAATGATCTCCAGGCATCATTTGCCTGCAGAACTACGACAGAAAGCCATTGGGAGACTAGAGGCAGGACAAAGTCAAACAGAAGTGACCAGATGGCTAAATGCGAGTCCTTCTGTGGTTCATAGACTTTGGAGGCAATTTCAAATCACAGATTCGGCACCTAGGAGATTCAGCCAAGGACGACCAACTGCTACGACGAGCGCCGATCACCGATATTTGACATTATGTGCACTCAGGAATAGAACCGCTACTCCGACTCTTCTTAGATCCTCCCTTGCTGCAGCCACGGGAAGGTTGGTGTCAACTTCAACTGTACGTAGAAGGCTTCACGAAGGTGGTCTGTATGCAAGGCGAACAACCATTTGGGTGCTGCTCAAATCACGCCATAGGAGGGGAGACCGTTTGCAGTGGGCACGACAACATGTCCACTGGACGCCTGAGCAATGGAAGGCTAGTCTCTTTATGGGTGAGTCCAGGTTTAGTCTAGAACGCGATAATAGGCATTATTTGATATGGAGAGAACCTGGAACCCGTAATCATTCGTCAAACATCCGTAAAAGAGATGCATACGGAAGAGGCAGTGTCTGTGTTTGGGGTGGCATCTCTTTGGGTGGACTCACAGACCTGCATGTTTTTCCAAGGGGAATCGTGAATGCTCATGTTTATAGAGATGACATCCTTGATCCTCATGTGCGCCCATATGCCGGGGCAATAGGTGATGCTCTTTCCTGCTACAGGACGACAATGCAAGACCACAGAGGGCTCGCATTGTATATGATTATCTTCAACAGGAAACACTTATGCGCATGGAGTGGCTAGCTCGATCCCTGGACTTGAATCCTATCGAGCACGTTTGGGACGCTTTAGGGAGACGTCTAGCTGCTCTCAATCCGCCCCCTTGCCGCGCTTTGCAAGAGCAATGGCTCTCGCTTCCTATGGAACTGATAGACCGCAAAATTGAAAGCATCACACATCGCTGTATGTGCTGTATTGCTTCTAGAGGCGATCATATTCCATATTTGAAGGTACTTTTCCTATAGCAAACTGACACCTTCGATTTGTTCATTTTATACATGTACTAATTTCTATACTACCATATTTGTCTGGTAATTTCTTTTTATGTTATTTGATACCTTACTATGTGTTGTATATTGTGGGTAAGTTTCATTAAATTCTACTTTTTCAGTAATCGTGATTTTTGTGATTTTTCCTTAATTTATGATAACCAGTGTAGTTTTTAACGTTTAAGTTTTGACAATCGCACTTAAACAATTAACATATAAATTAATTAATCAATTATTCCATCAAGTTTTCACTCAAGTAACGCAATAAAGATATTACGGATATTAAATTACATAAATTCCTTGCAATTAATCAAAGTAAGTCTTTTCAGTTTTCAGGTAATAGTTCATAATTTCAAACTCAAATATTAATTATATCAGTTAAAAATCCGAATGTAATTAATTAAAATAAAAAATAACTGTAAAAGATACACAACACGTAGCTTTTGTACATCTGTTATGCGAGTATTGTACTTAGGCATGTGACATCAGAATTTTTAAATCTTGGAAGGTTTGGGAAAAAGATTTGAGATTCGAAAAGTCGAATTTTTTTCCCCTCTGTGTTGCAATTTCACTAGTACCTGGATCATTAATATAATTTTCTGACAGCCTTAGCGTGACATTGTTTCAATATGCCACCTCGTGAAATTTATCGTTCATGTAATTGATGCGCAGTGCTCTCTCGAACATTCACGAAATTAAATCTTTATTTGTGTCTTGGGTATAAGTTATTTATTCCTAATTAAGTTGAAGTTGAATTCAACTTAATTAGGAATAAATAACTTATACCCAAGATACAAATAAATTAAATTGAATTAAGTTGGTCTCAGATGTTTTTAGCAACTCATGCCATGGTATATAAACGCAGCGTTGCTCACATGTCTTCAGTTGTCTATAATTAGTAGTCATGGCTATTGAATTTTGAAATTTCTATTGAAATTTGAACTGCCACTCAATATTTTTCCCGAATTATGTTTAAAAATGAACTTCAATGTTCAAAAATTTTAATTACAAATATCTTCTAAGAGATTAATGTGTATTTTTAAACATTCTGTTCTTAAATTTATATTTCATATAGTATTTATCAATGACTCTTAAAGAAACAAAATATATGTGAAAATTAAAGAATGCGTAGGCTTTCAAATTTGTGGATATGTAAAACCAAAATTGCTAAAGCTGAGGATAAACACCCTCAGAATATTTGACAACAGAAGTCGTCCAGAAAATGCAGTACGAATATCTTCTGCATGTGGAATGACGAAGTCTTAAACACATTTAAGAATGCACCATCTTCAGGACATTTTCCTTATATCCTAAAACATAACGACTTAAACAAAGCATCCTCAAGTTGTTACATCCTCAGGCTCAGTGTGTCCTAAGTATTTCTCAGCTCAGTTGTTTGTCCCTAGATATTGCGACTTAAACGAAACATCTTGAAGACATTCTGTGCTCTAGGGAATCAAACGCAGATTTCAGAGTTTGATTTAATATTATTGTTACTATTAATATCATTAGTCATAGTATTAAGGGATTCGATATCTGAAACATTTCAAGAATTAAAGAAACTTTTAAATTTTGGAAGTCGGATTCAAAAAAATTATGATTCGCCCTGCTTTTAATATTTAAATTTGTCTGCACCTTCATTTTCTAATTGATTTATAGCAGTCGCAAGCAATGAAAATTTTATAAATTTGACTGATTAATCTTCATAAAATCCCACATTTCATTTAAATTGTAAAAACCGTTTTCGAAATCTCCTTGCGAATTTTACTGAAAATGTCGAATTTGAATGATAGTCAGCTACTCTATCTGAATTCATTATCATTTTTTGATTTATTCAATATATCTCTTTAACATTCATTTTTCTATAGGCCTATGAATCATTCTTAATAAGGAAGCATGTAGATGACCTAAAGCTGCCGGGAATGAAGTATTCACCGAAACAACTGTTCTGGATAAGTGCAGCAAGCGTGAGTCTTTTGCATTTCTTATCGATAATTAGCAGATACCATTCTAGGGAAACGTTTATTGAAAGTATTCCGAAACGTTTATTAATTTCGAAGCAAATTTGATATGAACATCGATAACATTGATAATAATACAGGGTGGGCCAAATAAGACCTACCAATGTTAAAAAAGAAATAACTTTTTTATTTTTTGATATAATTATTTTTTTTTTTTTTTTGTAGGTTATAATTGAATTCTTAGAAATTTATTATGGAACCATACAGTATAAAACAACGCGCGGCCAATAGCGCATGAAATGAACTTCAATATTCAAAAATAACAGCAGAATCTTTTTTTTAAGGGGATATTTAGAAGAGAAAGTATATATTAATAAACCAGAGACTATTAGACAGCTGAAGCAGACTATTGGAGACAAAATACTGAGCCTTCAACACCAGAAGCATTACGTGGTGTAATGGAAAACGCGTTAAAAAGACCCAATCTCTGTATCGAGAAAAATGGTGGATATTTGTCTGATGTCATATTTCATACACATATAACGTTGCGCGCCTCTAACTAGCACGCAACCAAGAGGTGACTGTGAAAGCTTGTATAAAGCACAGAGTCTTATGAAGGGTTTAAGTCCCTTTTTATTCAACGTAATGAATTTACAATTGCGTTCTCTTGACGCTTACAAACGGTGCCAACTCGGCAGTCAAATAAAAATAAATAACCTGAAAAGAAATTAAAGACAAGATTCTAACTACGAGGCTCTCTAAAATAACTAACTCACCGCGTTTTACAAATACCGCTGCTAATTCAGCAGACTTGAAGCTCACTGGAACAATTGCAAAACTATTCCCGCAAGCACATAGGCCGCAACGCGGGGTTTTTCAATTCTCGCTAACTACCTCCGCGCTCGCTAAGTAAGATTAACTCTCTCACACCGAACTCGTTTCCTCTATTTAAATCAGAATACTTCCGCTGATAATTTGAATCCTTGCGCGTTCTACTCAAATTTACATATTCTGGCATTGGCAGTTCCAGGGGAAAGTAAGGCTTGACAGGAAAGATAGTTTAAACTTAAAATAAATGTTAGTTAAAATAAATATAAACCCTACATTTGCCGCTGCCAGAATTTGGAAAACTTGGAAGCAGGTCCTACAAACGACCTGTTGTAAGTTTATCTAATTCTGAACTAACTGGCGAAAGCCTCGTTTACACAAAAAAAATCTTATGTAACAATACTAAATTCTGTTACTCTTTACAAAGGTTTCTTCTTACAGCAACTTTTCCTGGACTTCATCAATCAATCTTGGTCTTTCCTTCCAGCATCTGGAAGGAATAAGTATCAGTATCTTTCTAACATACATTATAATTTACACTTTCTTGACACAATAAATTTTTGTTTTTAAACGATTCGTTTTTCTTAGTTATTGCTTAACTTCACATTCATTCAATTTTCAAGCATTAATTTAACTTTACCCTGGCTCTCCACCATGTGTGGTGTCAAACGGGAATATTCGTGTTTTAGTCTTACAACACTTCCCCTAACCACCATGATTTGTTAGAATTCAACAACCAAATAGACACACCTTACTCGACATTCTACAACTCAATGAGCTACTTTAATATTCTTAAAAATTCAAATGTAGGTGGAGAACCCTACAAAACACATTCATTCTAACTTCCCCCCCTCATTCATCTTTTTTAAACATGCAGGCTTTCGCTCTAAAGCATGACTTTATCTACAGTTTAATACTTAAATTTTGATTCATTGCTTTTAAGCATTTCACTTTTAGCATCTACAATTTTATGCTTCTAGACTAAATTCTACTTTTACATAACTTCAAGTATTTACATACATTTACAAAATTTTAATACATATGCTTTTACAATTTACCATAAAATGAATAAGAGAAAATAAATTTTTACTTTACTCATTCTTCGCCAAGCTGGCGGCACTGAAACTAAAATTTTTATTAGTACAAGAATACGAAGTTATTTTTATCTTCGGCCAAATTTTGGCTTTACCATAACAGAATTAGTCTTTCGACCAACAGAAAATGCTTGTTTTTAGCTTTTACACTTGAAGAAAATAATACTTTTGCCTTAGCTAAATAAAGTAAAACAAAACTAAGTCTCAACCGAGACATATTGACTTTCGTCAAAACATAGAACTTCGTACTTATGCATAACATTTCGGAACAAAAGAGAAAAAAAATTATAGAAGGTTTTTAACTTATCTTTGAGTTTTCGATGCTTGAAAACTCCGTCATCCGTTTTTGGCAAAATTGATCCCAAGTTAGAGGTTGTCATGGATGTCAATCTTCTCCTTATTGATCTCCGAGTGTCGTCCCCGTTGCTTCTTTCTTTTGCGTCCTCTACATGCTGGCCTCTTGACGGAGTAAGTAATCGTCTGGTTGTTGGCCTTTGCGTTTCTGCCTGGGACGGCTGGTCTTGACGTCCTCCGGTCTGGAGTCTTCTTGAATTTCTTCTGTTCCTCGTATTTTTTGTGCCTCCTGTTGGTCGTTTCAGTTTCCGGAACGGCGGCCTTGCTGGCACCTGACTCTGTGGCCGTGTGCGCGTTCTCCTTGATGTGTAATTTCTCCTGCCATCCTTTGTAGGTGGTGTTTTTTTCTTTTTACCACGGTTTCTTTACCCGGTTCATCTGTATTTTTGTTTTTCTTAAACGCCGGAGTTTGAAAATCATTTTTTTCTTTTTGATACCGACGTCCGGGTTGTAGAAGTGCTAGGTCTCTCTTCAGTTCTCCGTTTCTTGGGTGGTGGAATAGTTGTTGCAGTCTCTGGCCCTTCTATTTCGTTTAGACTTGAGTCCTGCAAGAAACTTTTAAGGATTTCAAAATCATTTGGATTATAGTATTTTTTCACCTGGTCGGGACTTGCTTTACAGATTTCCCCTCTCTCGTTTTTAAGATATAAAACTACTCCTTTGATTTCCTGAATTACATAGGGGCCTTCAAACTTTGGAGCTAGCTTTGCCATAAAATTGTCTGGGGCACTTGATAAAGAAAATTTCCGCTTCAATACTTTATCCCCAACTTTAAAATCTGCTTCACGGCGTTTTCTATCATAATAATTTTCTGCCTATTTCTTGCCGTATCCGAGGAGGTTTTAAGCGCCTGATCAATTAGTTTTTGCACGTCTTTTGTTTAAATTCCTGCTCTCTTTGTTGCACAAAGAATAATTTATCTAAAGGCGTAATTAACTTTCTGCCCTAAAAATAATTCTGCTGGAGTTTTTCCCGTAGTATCATGATGTGCCGTTCTTAAAGCATAAGCTAATTCATTTATGTAGCCATCCCAGCGCTTGTGATGTGTGCTAACGTAACTGCGAATTATTTTTACAATGTTTTTATTAACTCTTTCTGCTATGTTAGCCTGTGGTCTATACGGAACCATTTTGATATGGCGTATATCAAGTCCATTGCATATGTTTTCAAATATTTGACTAATGAATTGTTTTCCGTTATCGCTAATGACTTTTATCGGTGCACCGTATTTTAAAATGTATCTGTGTAAGAATGCATCTGCGACTGTTTTGGCTGACGCGCGCGTTTAAGTGGAACAATTTCTATCCATTTTGAAAAATGATCTACTATTACTAAAAGAAAACGATTTTTATTTAACTCGCTCTGGGGGAAGGGACCAAGAAGATCTATGCCTAAAATTTCATTCGGAAATGTAGCGCGAATGCTATTTAAGTACCCGGCCGGGCTGCTGTAATTAATATCATTTATTAACTGACATTGATTGCAGGACCTGACATACGCCGTTACTATTTTGTATAATTGCGGGAAATATACCGCCTCGCGTACCCTTTTTAAAGTCTTTCTGACCCCGAGGTGGCCCGCTGTTTTTTTTTCGTGCAACTCCCTCAAAATGCTTAATCGAAGCGAGGCTGGGATGACTGGCTTATACTCAAGATTTTTCGTTGTTGTTTTCGTATAGAATAATAAATTATCTATTATTTCATAGTTTTTGCTCTATTTCTTATCGCATCGATATCTGTATGCTCAAAGCTTTCGGGGTCTTTCAAATAAGCATAGATATTTCCAAATTCAGGATCAGCTTTCAGTTCAGTAATAACCGTATCTCTAGAATCTAAAATTTTTGAAGTCAACACAGCGCATTTAAGTTCATTACCTTCATCGTCCAGTTTTATACGAGAAAGTGCGTCAGCTACATTGTTTTCCTTACCCGGTTTATATTTTATTGTGATATTATATTCTTGGAGTTTTAAAGCCCATCTTATTAACCTGGGCGTTAGGTTTTTTCCCGAGTAAAGTCTACCAACAGCCGCATGATCCGAAAAGACTGTTACTGGCGATTTGCCGAAATAAACTCGAAATTTGTGTACAGCCATTAATACGGCTAATGTTTCTCTTTCTGTAGCTGTATAATTCCTTTGTGTTTGATTCAATGTTTTACTAAAAAAATGCCAGCGGATGGTTATTTTGCATAAGAACCGCACCCACCGCATAGTCTGATGCATCTGCCGCAATTTCCAGGTTTTCGTCCCCCTCAGGGAATTTTTAAAACAGGGGCATTAATAAGCGCTTCTTTTAATCTTTCAAAAGCTGTGTTAGCTTCCGCTGTCCACGTAAATTTACTCTTTTTTCTTTTGATTACTAAGAGTGGTTCAACAATATTAGCGAAATCTTTTATGAAAGATCGATAGTAAGAACATAGTCCAAGGAAAGACGAAAGTTTCTTGGCGGTGTTGGGCGGTGGGGTGGGAAATTCTTAATAGCTTTTATTTTTGAATCTTGCGTTTCTATACCCTTTGCGAAATTTTATAACCGAGATATTTAAGTTCTTTAGTTGCGAACTTGCATTTTGAGGCGTTAATTGTAAGACCGGCCTCTTTTAATAATTTAAAAACTTGTTCGAGATCATTAATGTGTTGTTCCAACGTACTACTCGTTATAATTATATCATCTAGATAAATTAAAGTTGATTTTCCTAGGACAGGCTTTAGAACAATGTCCATAGCTCTCTGG